TTCTGATTTATACCTCAATTGGATTTATTATAAATCCTAAATTCTAATTGTGTTTTAATAAGTAATTGCCTTGAAGTAAATCTTTGAGATGTAAGCTGATTTAGAATTTGTGTTTGATGAATGAGATTAACTGAGTGATAAATGATAAAAGATCTTATCTTTGAAACATATATGTTGCTATAATATTGTTGTATTTCACATGTTGTTTATTGTGCTTTTTGACAAATGATGCCAAGCACTGAAGAGAGATGATTTTTATTATGATTGACTGTGTTCAATCATGGTGATTGAAGTGTTTTCAATCTTGTTCTACTTTTGATGTAATTAATGTGAGTGAGCCCACACAACTCTGAAGACGCTTATTGATTTAAGTATTGACTGAAATATTCTTTAGACTAATGTTAATTGATTATCATAAATTGATAAAAGGGTGGATCTGTAAAGGAATATTTTAGTCTGATGCTTAGCTGACCTGAGAAAACTTCACATGAGTGACTACTCTTTCTCATGTGTGGGGGGAAGGGTTTACTACCCGCTCAGACAGAGTTTCTTTGTCTGTTCATCTGTAATCGATTGGGGTAAAGGCCCGCGTTTCTAGGCTCCGCCCCTTCTCAGAGACCAGGTTCGAGCGCTTCCGTCTTTGTGTGGGCAGAGTTAATTTTGGCAGCTTGCATTGAACAGTGCGAGTTGCTTTGTTAATCCTCCGGCCGTTTGTCTCTCAATAAATATCAGTGTATTGACAGGCGAATCCAGTTTCCCTCATTTGATGATTGGCTCAACATTGCTGCAAAGAAGTTTTTACTTCACAGGTTTAGTGTGTAAGCGAGTGGTAGCTACATCGGTGCTAACGATGCTAATCGTAGCCTACAAGTTAAAATCATAGACTGTATATATAAAGGTTAAAACGAAATAGACAAGTGTTAAGCGTTAAGTGGGATAATACTGTACAACAAACGGCTTCTGTTTGAGGTTGATAAAATAAGGTCATCCTTGTAACTTAGAGAGATATTTTATTATGTAGGAACTGTATGCATGCTAAGGTTAATTTAAATTGGCTATGCTCAAGTATGTAGACAAGCTAACGTCGAAGTAGTGTATGTGAAATCAACCTCACAATAAGATGTGTATATATTACAATTATTAATGTCATATTTCAAGATGATTACTTAGATATTACAATATGGTTGGTTGAGCTGGAGTTCATTATTGAGCTTACATGTTAACGTCACAGTCATCTGAAGAACGAACCCAAACCTTGTTGTTTTTATTAATTGCATTACCAAATGGGTATCAAATAAACAGTAAGCATTGGTAACACAACTTCCAAAGTTACAGTAAAATAAAAAGGACCCTGACTCGGACAATAAACAATCCAACATGTTCAACAGAAGAGAATCAGTTATATTGTTTGTACACATGGTACTTTACATATATATATATATATATATATATATATATATATATATCTGTTTGTTTAAGGTGTCCAGGTGATGCAGACAGGCTGGACCAGAGTGATAGACAGAACTGGACTCCTCACAGCAGTGAACTTCAGCTCAGGTACAAAGACTCTATTTTTCATACTGTACAAAGAATCAAGAAAGATATTGGTTTAAATGAATGAACGTAGGGATGTCCGGATCACCTTTTTTTGCTCCCGATCCGATTCCGATCATTTGATTTTGACAATCTGCCGATACCGATTTTTCCCGATCCGATCTTTATGCAATGCATTAAGAGAAAAAAAAGGTAACGGATAACGGCTGGTCATCCAACGCGATGAATTCAGCTATCCTGGCTGTTATTTTTGTGGCCTTTTCACTGTTCTGGGGCAGTTTCTCTTTCCTTTTAAAAGTCTCTGAAAGTGTCGGTTGTTTCAGTGCCGTTACCTGAGTGGCCGCTGTGTACTCGTAGTGTTGTTGGTGTTTGTTTCTCAGGTAGCGTATTAGATTGGTCGTGTTGAACGTAGCTCTGTTCTTTCCACCACGCGGAACCTCCGCCTTGCAAACATTGCATCTGGCTGTTACACTGCCTTCGCTTTCAATTTTATAATACTTCCAAACTCCTGACATTTTCTCTGTCCCGACTCCCGAGACACCAGCTGAACGTAGCCTCTCGTTAGCTTACTGCTACTATTAGACACTGCGCCCAGAAATAAGCAACCAGGTCTGAAAACAAGCCCAAAAGAAGCAACACATACATGATGTTGTGTAATTTTAAACCAAAACTAAGTCCTCAGGATGACTTTAAGACGTGAACATGGTCATTTTTGTTTTGTAACATTAAATAAAATAATAAAAATATTTTATAAAAAATAAAAATAAATAAAAAATTCCCGATCCCCGATTTTTTTCCTCCCGATTCCGATCTTTTGAAAATCACGTGATCGGCTCCGATCCCCGATCACGTGATCGGATCGGGACATCTCCAGAATGAAGTATTGACTTTAATACACTGATATGTATTCCATTAAACAATACTAAATACTAGATCTCCTACACATCAGTTAAGTTACATTTTAGATATTTAGCAATATGACTTTGTCAGCTTTCTAATTTAATGTATTGAAGGCAAAGATATTTAACACATAGTGAGAACTGCTACTATTTATCTCTCAATATTGTCTGTAAAAACGTGGTAAAAGTGATTCTTTCAGTGAGACAACAGAGCAAGCTTCTACAGTTGCACTACGTTTTGATAACAGTTCAATATTATTTTGATAATAACATATATTTCAATGTTGATGAACTTCATACTGTTCATTCATAATCTGATTGTCTTTGTAGCTCTGTTGAAATAAAAAAAAAAACATTACAATTACAAAATAATTATATCTACAGCCCCTAAACACACTGCTTTCATAAATAACACACTTGTTCTGCAATAATATGTTTTATGTTTCCTGTCATTTTTGTTAGGAAAGGACATGCCTGAAAGACACGACATTTTCGCCTTCTCTGAGGGTCAAGAAGAACATCCAAGAGGAACATTAAAAGCTGATGCTATGAGATTTTAAGACCAGTACAGGACATTCACTAAGAAACTACTTTTATTGTGAAAACACAGTCAGCTGATCGAATGCAGCTATTTCCACATCTACACTCCATCAGCTGATTATTTCTATTTGCCTCACTTTATGAGCTTCACATCACCTGTGCCTTGTACCGCAGAGTTTGCAACGTCACAAATAAATGGGGCCAATCTTCAGTCAGATGTGAATGTGTAATCTAACATTTTCAGTAAGAATAATGGACGAAAGGAGAGCAAATACAAATATAATTTATTGAAATGTGAACCAAAACTTCATCAAATGTTTTAAATAAAAAGCACATATGGACAGAAGGTGTAAACCTATTAAATGTATAAGTGAACACATTTAGTCAAATAACGTGACAGACTAGGCCTGTGCAGTTGGTATCAGCTTTGCCCAGCATGGGCTCCTTCATCAGCCCTGGTCCTCCTCGCAGAGGAAAGACCCTCAGTCCTCTCCAAACCAACAGACAACGGACGTCCATCACACGGAGGTTTCTCCCTGAAGTCTCTGCAGCTCTCTGGACACCACGCTGTCTCAATCCGTCCACACTGAATATGAGAGGGGGAAAATGAAAATAATAAATGCTTTAGACAATAAGAAATATAAAGTTGACTGATTGTCAATACTATTACTGTATAACTAATATCTCAGGTTAAGAGGCACATTCAAATAAAGATTGGTCTTTAAATACATGTTGTCTTTTGAATTGTTTGTCTAAAGTCAAGGATCTAGAACTGGTACTTAGTTTTAATGATACAGTCTGGTTATTATGCTGTTTGGAGGAGGCCTCACAGGTAAGAGCACTAACTAGCTACCATCACATGTACCTTAGCTTGACTTAAATGTATTAAACGTATAGTTAAGTGATATTAAAATACAAATAACTAATGTCATGCAAACATATTAATATTTGCTTGATTCCAGCATACAAATGTTAAGGGATTTTAAGATTCTGAAGTATTATGCTAAAAACTCAATAACTTAGATTATTATTTATAGTTTTGCTGAATAGTTTCATGTCCGCTTACCTTAGAAACGTAAAATGCCACGGCAGTGTGCAGATGGGGAGCATGTTAGCTTAGCTTGGTAGCTTCAGCTAGCTCTGGAACTTCCAGCTCGATGGCAGCAGGTCCCGCCTTGGCTCCGCCTCTTTGCCCTTATTTGGAGCAGGCGGGAGTTGAACTCTGACGTCACTGTTGAGCCGTTAGTGGCCGACTCCGCCTACTAAGGGCTTCTCGGCAACTCTGCAGAATCCTATGGGTGACGTCACGGACCCTACGTCCATTTATATATAGTCTATGGTTGAGGCGCATCCCATAGTGAGACATCGAACGGAGTGTTATGAATGAGAACTGCTGATGGTAATGTCTTTGTAACTAGAGGTTCATGTACGTTGTAATAAGGAGAGGAAATAAGCCAAAAGCTGCAGTGTGATGGGATCCAGCTGCAGACTCAGATACTGTCAGGTCTCATCTGACTCCAGGGTTGGATTACAATGTGACACACACACACACACACACACACACACACACACACACACACACACACACACACACACACACACACACACACACACACACACACACACACACACACACACACACACACACACACACACACACACACACACACACACACACACACACACACACACACACACACACACACACACACACACACACACACACACACACACACACCACACACACACACACACACACACACACACACACACACACACACACACACACACACACACACACACACACACACACACACACACACACACACACACACACACACACACACACACACACACACACACACACACACACACACACACACACACACACAAAAAAAAAGAGTATTTTGGTCTTTGACTCATCTGTCCTGTCTGCTCTGTAGAGCTCAGCGGGTTGAGACCCAGAGGGCCGTAAAGTAAAGTCTGGGGCTCGCCTGGCCTCATTACCTGAGCAGCAGATGCTCCTGCGGGGGCCAGGAGCCCAGGCCGAGGCCGGGGCCGTGGAGCAGGTAGCGGTAGACCTCTGCGTCCTTGGACAGTGTCTGGATGACGGAGGCCTGACGGAGGCTTCCCTCCCACAGCTGCTGCTCCCTCAGCAGCCGCTGCAGCAGCTCCTTCTGGGGGGCGTCCACTTCCACAGAGCCGCGCCACATCCACAGCGGGCAGCCATCGTCCATCTGCGGACAAGTGGAAATGAGGATAAGCGTCTTTGTGGCTCCATGAGCAAACACTTTAAAGGTCTCCTATTATACTGTTTTTCATCAATATATTATAGGTCTCAGACATATATAAAAAGTGATCGAATCTTTTTTCCTGAAACTTTCAGAATCTCTTTACACAGAGGGGACACATGTTTATGTATAAAAGACTACATACTTTTATTGTTTGTTTTTTATTGCTTTTTATTCATTCTACCGTGTTGTGTACTGTTTTTATACTGTTCCATGCTCACTGCTTGTAGCACTTCGGGATTATGAATATGAAGTGCTTTATAAATGAAACCCATTATTATTATATTTGTTAAGATAGTCTTTTACTATTTTTTAAATCCAGGCTGAAGACTTTTCTTTTTGTCACTGCTTTTAATGAACTATTCATAGCTTACACTTCACTGTAACTTTGATTAATGTAACCTACGTTACTCTATATTAGCTTGTGATTTAATTATTTTATTCTCTCTGCTCTTTAATGACTGTTTTTAAATGCCATTTCATCATGTGTTTCCGCCGCACATTTCTTTATCCTGTTTATGTTTTTCAGTTTTTGTAAAGCACTTTGAATTGCCTTGTGTTGAAAGATGCTATATAAATAAACTTGCCTTGCCTTACTTAAGTTATACTGTTTGATTAGAATACAAAGTTATCATTATGTTTGTATCTTATTCCATTTTACATGTATGAAGTTATTCCTGCGTTTCACTTGCAACATTCTCCTTCACTAGTTTATTTCTAATTCAAATATTGATGTTCCATTGTCAGGACTTAAGATTTCCATTGCCAACAACTACACTGTAGCAATTCCGCGTATGAAAAATAAAGTGTTTGATCCATTGATTTACCTTCTTGGAGGCCAGCTCCACGGACTCTGGAGCTGAGTGGCTCTCCCAGCCCCGGCTCCTCTCCCTGGCCTCCTTCAGGAGGGGCTGCGTGCTCAGCTGCAGCTTGATCCGTCTCTCCTCCTGCTCCTCCTCCTCACCTCCACTCGGACTGAAGGCCACCAGCCCTTCTCCTTCCTCAGAGAGCGAGTCCTCGGTGGAGCCCGCAGCACTCAAGAGCTGACTGGGCCAAAACTCTGGAAGCTACAAAGTGGATATGTTATTTGTTAAAAAAATGTATCATACAAAAGTCTTAGTATAGCAGTGGTGAACCGTCAGGGCCTTCAAGGTATTCAGAGAATACCCTGGAACACTCAGATAAAACAAACAAAAAATCTAATTATTATCTAAATGAGAATCGTATATCTGTGTTGTTGATCTGTAATATTACAGTGTTACGTTGATTTGTTTGTCTTTCTCGGTCCACATGCATTTCAGTGGTTTTGTGTAAAATGCAACCAATCAGATATTTTTTTGGGTCTCTGTGTAAAATATCCTTCAACCAAGGTATTCTATATCCTTGATAGAATGCCCTGGCCCTTACACTGAATGAGAGCGTACGTTTGGATTGACAGGTTGATCATATATTGATTTGTAGCCAATGGGCGTATTCTTTCAGAGATTCCCTCAGTTCCAGGGTACTCTAGAGTCTAGAAGGCCCGTTAGTTCACTGGCTCGAGACAGAGGATCCAGCGTAAGTGTTACGTAGCAATTCATTTGAAGTTTTATTGTTTTTTTACGTCGAAATGGCAACAGGTGAAGATGATGTTGTTGCGGAATTGTTGTTAGTACCCTTTTCAAGACGATCATTCAGTGAAAAGATAGACATTATAAAAAAAGGCCGTCCAACGCAAAGTGACTGCTTCCGTGACGTCCGTCTAACTAGAACACCCGCACCCGTGTCTAGAAGGTCCAGTTGTGATAGACACAGTTCGCCACTGTATAGTGTGTCAAAAAAAAAGTCATATCATGATATGTCAAAAATATTAGAAAAAACGTCATAGACAAAATTACAAAAGGACATAGTATAGTTATGAAAAAAAGTCAAATGACAGTATGTCAAAAAAAGTAATAGTATATTGTTTAGAAAAAAAGTAATACGTCATTATGTCAAAAATATCAGAACTTTTTTTTTTTTTTTTTTTGTACCTGAAAGAGTCTCTGGGCCTCGGTGATCATGTTAGCGAGGCCCTGCGTGGCGGCCAGGTTCTCACTCAGGTCCCGCTGGTCCGGGCGGCCCAGGCTGTACTTCCTGTGACTGGATCTGCAACAGCAACAAGAACAAGACCAAGATTTATTGTCTTTGTGAAGGAAAGTCTGAGCAATTGACTGTACGACCAAAAAAGCCGGTTGGAAGCTGAATTTGAAGTCTTTTAACAGTGTAGGTTTAAAAAACAAACAGTCTACAATAAAAAAAAAAAGCCACCAGTAAAAAGATTAAGATGGACATCAAAGCTTTTACTACCTGCCTGGCGTGACCTAGCAATGTCCTATGACCTATTATTTATAGTAATTCTTAACATGAAATAGACATTCTAATGTTTAGATTAGATAAACCAGATTAACAGATAGAAAAATGAAATAACAGTTTTTAATTAGTATTTTTGGTTGATTATAAGCCTGATTCGGATATGGGCATAACAGAATGAGAGACTCAATCACGTGTAACACCTAACTCTAACCTGTTTTTGACTGTTTTGAGAACGCTGAAAGGAAATGGGAAGAGGGTGAAACATGCGACATGTCTTCACCCTGTTACTGGGAATCTGCAGCATTTTTTTTCACAATTACTGCAACTGACATTTCAGATTTTTTTGGAAAGCTTGCAAAACAGAAAGTAGTTTTCTCTGACTTTATTTGATATGATGTTTTGTATTTTTTTTTTGTCTGATGACAAAGAAAGAGTTCGACAGAAAATCTTTTTATCGTAACAAACAGTAGGCTACCGACTCTTTCCAGCAAAACAGGGAAATTAGACACCGATACCAAACAACAAACCAAGCTGCATGGATGAGAATTGTGACCATTAAAAGTATATATCTCAGTAGGAGCAGTGAGTTCTGTCAAAGAGAAACATGAGGAAGAAAGATGAGATGTTTTAGATCTGCGGGAGAACAGCTGCAAGCATCAGCCAATTTTCCGAGTTATTGTTCCCGGCTCAAAGTGGAAATGATTTCTGACAGGGCGGGACGCTGGCTTCCAGGACACGGGAGGCACAATTGTGCTGATTGTGTCGTTATGTCATTTCCATCTACTGTCCCGTCAGTTGCAGAAAGTGGAGACAGGAAAGGTGGAGATGAAACGGAGCGACGAACGTACAGGAGGAAGAGGAGTTAGGGAAAGGAGAGATTACAGAATGAGAAAACAAGGAGGAAGAGATGTGAAGGGAGGCAAAGACAGAAAAATGTGGCCAAGAGATGATGTTAGGGAGGATAGAGAAAATAATGATGATGAAGAAAGGTTGAAAATCATGGTAGAAGGAAACAAGATAAATTATAAAAAGGTTTTAAAAGTTTGTCTTACTTTAACTTCTTATTTTGATATGAATATTTTTAATTTAATTCTTATATTTATATACATATTTGTAATGGATTGGATTTTTATATTTTATTGGACATTTTACTTCTTTTGTTTTTATAATATTTGTATTTTATTTTTATTTTGTATTCTAGAATACAACAACTGTCACAAAACCCAATTACCCCCAGGAGATATAAAGCATTCTGTTTCTGAACTCAAAGTAAATACATAGATTGTGTTTATCAAAGCTTCATATATCACCTTCCCCTGTACCATAGAGCTCCATTATTGTCCAAAAACTATTAAAAACATTTTTTTTTTTCTCATATAATTTTTCGTATGTCAAAAGCCAATTGAGAAATTAAGTTCAGGCCGGATGGAAATTAGTGGAGTTTGTGTAATGTGCTTCATGTGTGAACTGTGCAGACAGCTTTTCATTACAAAGAGAAAGTGTGAGTGTAACAGCTGGATCTGATCCAGAGGCGATTTTATCTGTGAGAAGTGAGAACTTTTCAAACATGAAGCTAATGAAGCAACAAAAGGAGGAAAGAAAAGCAAGTTCCTATGACACTCAAATGTGAACGTGCTATCACACACATTCAGACACACATGCATGACAAAAATCAAAGGGGAAGTGAGGATGTACTGTAGAGCAAAATCAGAGGCTCAGATTTCTAAAAGTGAACCATGATGAAGTCAAAGCCTGAGGCCAAAACAAAGCATTCTGCAGATGTAATAACATAATTCAGAATGTAATACTTTTTCAAGTTTGCACAGTTCAATCACATCCTATGCGATAATTTGAATGATGTTTTCCTACCCTAGGACTCTCATCCTTTAGCTTGATTCATGTTATGACACTTGATAAGGTTGATAGCAAAAATAACTATTACAAAGGTCAGAGGTTGTTTAAAAACGTTTCTTCAGGCGACCATACCAGATCTTTTGCATGTTTTAGCTTCCTAACTACTGAGCCTTATATTTTATGACATTTTTATTAAATAGTCATTTTAATGTATTACATTTTAAGACATAACTGTAGGTTTTAAGATGTTATCCGATCTTCCAGGCAGACATTAGTTTGAATATGTTTTAGTACATTTATCAAACAATTTATAGATATTTTTAAGTTCTTTATGTTTATTATACTGAAACATTTTGAAATGTTTGTTGTCAAAACTGTATTTGTGATGTGTTCAACAGAAAGACTGATGAAACCCCAGATGAAATATACACAAAAAATTCAGATAATGAGCCAACTCTCGAAGAATAATAAAAAATATATGATTTCCATGCTCTTTTTCTATTACAAAACTAAAATCTAAGTTAGGTAAGAGTGGACTTAGCAGTCTAGGTCTTATGTAACCGCTGTAAAAACTCATGTAACTGTGACAATGTGCTCCTTATTTAACTGAGATAAAACAAAAAAAATGTGATCCAGGTTTTTCCCTAACAATATTTTGGACAGTTCCTATGGTTGTGTCTGTGTTGCTCACCGGGCATTGGCGTCTCTCTTCAGGGTGTTGAGGTGGAAAAGTGACGGCGCCAGGCAAACTGCGATGTTTGTTGGAGTCATCTGGTTCTCCTCCACACAGGCCACCACGTCCCGCAGGAAGAAGAGCAACGTACGCAGCGCCACCCTGTTCTCATCAGGAAGAAGCAAGATGGCCGCCTGAGCTGCAACCAGCTGCTGATCCTTGGGGAAATCTGCAAACAGAAAAATAACATGTTAGTTTTTTAAATAATTTTGACACAGACAAGAAAAAAAGGACACGTCCAATGTAATGGATTATCTTTCTCCTGGGAAAAGTAACACAACTTCGATGGTCTCTAGAGACTCTAGCGTTTAACAGTAGTGTGGATAGCATTAGTTAATTGAGACTGAGCTAACGTTAGCATGTCTACCTGTCACATTCAAAGTATATAATATTGTACATTTGATAGGTGGTGCCGCTGATGAAACTTTAGAAAAAAAGAAACAAGAAAGGATAGAAGAGGGGACACATAAATGAAAATATTTTTAGCCAGGATGATGTGCTAATTGCCAGCTAAGGTGGCTAGCTAAGCTTATTGCTTGTTAAGTTCACAACAGTCACATTTGTCCTGGTGTTTTAACATACAGTAAAGCCTACACTAGGCAGGAGTGGATGGAAATAGGTCATGTGAGAAGAGATGCAGACATAGGATTTAACCCTACATTAATTACACACAAATATAAATGTTATCTTCTCAATGCTGGCCTGATGATAACAGTAGTGGCTGCTCACATTGGTAAATTTGGAGGAAGGACTCGCAGAGTTTGCTGGTGAAGATGGGTTCAGGCAGGTCTCTGAAGTATTGCTTCACCATGTCGGCCACGTCGAAGGCGGACTGACCGTCGTATAAAACGACTAACGGGTCCGACTCCACCAGCTCTCTGAGGTACTGGATACGAGACTTCACCCCAGACTTACGGAAAAGACCCACCTGAAAGAGAACACAATACAAAACATTTTATTAAAGTGCTTACAACCATAAATAGCCTTTCTTATGTTATTTGTCTTTCTCTTACTCGTTTTATCATTAATTGTTACATTGTCTTAGGGCAGGCATCCTCAAACTACGGACTCCGGTCCGGATCCGGACCGAACCACCACTGTCTCCGGACTCTGAGCAAATTATAGTTTTCATATGTATTATCTCTCTGTATTATATGTGAGACATCGCCACAACGCATTCGCAACGAGTCAAAATTCTCCGCTATGTCCACTGCAAACAGCGCTCTGCATGTCTGACTGTTCCACTGTGTTCCACCTGTGTGTGTCAACGCTTTGGTCCAATCACATTCAGCATCCAGTCAGCGTTTTTTCCCCCCAAACAATCTGCGAATCAGAGGCACAGTAGGGCGGGTCTTCGCGGACTGCGGGTGGGAAAAATGTGTGTGTCTCTTTCAACCTGTCTAAATCAGAGCGAGAATTTAAAAAAAAAAAATCAGAGCGAGAGTTAACAGCTCATCTAGTTCCATCTGTACTGTAGCTAGTAGCCTAGTTTCACCTACCGGGGTGGCAACTGACACCCTAAAAATAGGCATTACCACTCCAGTTGGCAGCTTTGTTTTGAAAGAAAAGTTGTGGCTCATCGGACATTTATGAGAGAAAGTCTCTAATGTCCGAGTGCAAGTGAATGCAGCACAAGATGCACGTCATGTAACCCCTCCCCCGGTCCTGGCGCAAGCGTGGACATACGATTGGCGGCCATTTCATTTTGAACTGGACGGCGCAAAACGAGAAGCATTCGGACCCAAGCGCTGAAGCAATGAGGTATTTGCTGTCTACACTGACAGAGAAGAGACTGTCAGTTTGGCTGTACTCAGCATTGAATCAAAACGCACTGAAGCTGTTGATCTTAATACGTTTGTGAGGCGTTTTGCTGAACAAAATGGTAATCGCCGCATTCAGCTGTAATAGACATGTCAACTTGATGCTCTGCTCACGGATGAGCATACACAACTATTAAGATGATGACCTTACGAGTGTAAATATATTTTTTTCTTTGAGGGGGTCTGCCCCCAAAAAACTGTTTTAAGTCCTGAGAAAGTCAAATCAGACGGTGTGTAAAACTACACTGCCCAGCCAAAAAAAAGTAACCACTTTGATTTAACTAGGCCAGTAGGTAAGGACTTTCCACTGGATAATAACTGAAGTATAAAAGAATGCATGACTGAAGTGATGGAGACCATGTTTGAAGGCAAACAAAAAGAGGAAATAACAGGTCAAATCAAGCAAATCCCCTCTCAGATTCCACAGCAACCAGAAGAACAGAAATACTGGCTGGTGATTTGATTCATCAGCTTTGTGATGGAATAAAAAATGCACAGTGCATTTCCTTAGCTGTGGGTGAGTCCACTGACACCACTGACAATGCTCAGTTGCTGGTGTTTGTGAGTTGTTATGATGAGGCAAAGGGGGAGTTTGTTGAAGATGTGTTGGGCCTGACGAACCTCAGTGGACGCACAAGGGGGAATACATTTATAAAGCAATAATGGGAATGCTGAATGAAAGAGGGTGCAGCTGCCTTTATTCATAACTGTGCAGCTCTTACACTGCAACTCTGAGGGGTCAAGCACAGACACAATAACAATGAAAACTGCTGCATACAGATTATTTTTGTTTTTGCAACCTTGTGTTAAGAATCTTGTTGCAATTGTTTAAAAGTTTGAATGACCGTAATAAACGGACCTTTGTCTTATTGAAACATTTATTTTGGACCTTTAAGATTTGTATTTGAGTACCCCTGTCTTAGGGATTGCCTGTTTTATCCTAGTTGTTTTCTGGTCTCTGGTCCTCACTTACATATGTTAATAGCCAATATATCATTTTACAGTCCACATATTTATATATTCTAACAATTCTATGACGTATAATATTACATTTTCAATTCAGTTCTCTTGCGATGATTTGTAATTGCACTTCTGCATTACTTTACTTATATGGGTTTTATTAATGGGATTTTCTCAAGATAAACTGCACTTTTAGAGCACTTGAGATTCTCATTGCCAACAACTACACTGTAGCTACAGTGCATATCACAATACAGCCTTTAAATGCTTTGAACTCTCAAGATACAGACAGGGTGTTACTAGTGTTTTAATATCCCTGCAGGCCTATTATTGCTCCATTACCTGGTCCAAACACTCGGTCCTCAGGTAGACCAGTGCCCTGAGGATGCTGGGAGGAAGTGGCTCTCCTGTCTGCTGGACGCTGGACAGAAGAGGAACCCCAAAAACCCGCCGACCTTTCACCTCCATTGGCTTGGTCTTCCTCTGCTGTTTAGGAACAGTCCTGCAGGTGAGAGAGACGTCATTTGATCCTTCAGTCAGTTTCTTGGTTAATGCGTGTGGAAGAAAGAGCCAAATAAACCGTTTTTGTTTAAATATGACCCAAGTGATCTCTATAATGTGTTGGCTATTCAAATCAGCTATGCAGGAAAAACATGCAGCAGTACAGAAAGCTTGGATTCATAGAAAGCTGCTATATTTATTAGTTTCTAGGCCTTGATAAAACTGCAGTCTTGTAATAAAAAGGTTCAACAAAGGCAAGATCCACAGAACTCTAGCAATCACAAGGGAAACCTCTTCTATACTTGGTATTAAACCTCATGCTGGCCCTGCAGCATTCACCAAAGTACAAAGAGAAAATGATATCACACACTCTAAAAGCTTTTCAGCTCTCTTTTCATCCCTCTGTTTTTTTCTTCCACTTCTAACAGCGGCTATCGGAAACAAACTGGCTATTTTGAGGGAAGTGCCTCAGAGTATCATCCGTCCTAATCAGCAGTTAATTGCTGTATTTTTATTAATCCAGCACTCACGTTTGCATCGGTTGATTAAATCATTGAAATAATAAGACTTCAACTGATTGTTAAAGCCTGGAGGGATTTATTTTTCTGCAGTTAATGGCCAATATGCTTTATAAATAGAGCGTACAGTTGTACTACTCACTGTGTGTGAAGGTGTCTAACTTTTACAAAATAAAATACTGTAGAGATTTGTAAGTTTTGGATTTGTCTTACAATCAGTTCCTATCCGATTCAGCTCTATTTCTACATATACAAGATATCCAGGGTTTCAGAACAAATATGTGGTAACCAGGTTTTTCTTAACAAAATACATAGTTAAAGATTTGGCAAACCTGTTGGACTTCACAGCTAACTCACCACTACTTGGGGACACATCCATTTCAACTTTGACCTTTTATAAGATGACATTTTCTGAAGTTGTTCGTATTCAACCACAAGTAATGCCTTTCCCAAAATTGCCAAAAACCGACAGCTTTTAACAAAGTACAATAATTTGCCATAATTTACCGTATTTTGTGGGTTTAAATACAACTACCCTTAATCAATTGTATTATTGTCAATTAATCCAGTAAAAGAACATAATTTTGCCATCATTAATGTAAGAACAAGTCATTTGCACTTCAGTTTGAGCCCATTTTAAACTCCTGCTTTGTTGAACAAAATGTTAAATGGATGTGTTCTTCCTTTTACTCGTAGAGGTCAGTTTTGACACCATTTCTCCTCAATTTGGCTCCCTTTCATGAGATGTATTCAATGTAATCTGTGGAAAATGGAGCTGTTTGAAATGCTAAAACTGAACTACATGAAGCCTGGCTGATGCTTTACAACCTGCTTCCACAGAGCGGCTGTTTTTCCTGAGTCTCCCATTGAACACATGTTTGATCCTGAAAATTAAAGACGAATATCTGTGTCATTTTTGGAGGCATTTTTTTTTTTTTTGTAATGCTCAATTCCCTCTTTCAGCCTTATTTCATTGAGCATAAAAGTCCCTACAAAAAATCTAATTGCTTTTTCACCAAAGCAGAAAATAAGCAGGTCACACCAACATACATTAGAGAATACACATTTTCAGCAGAGTAAACAAATAATTATTGTATTATTATTAAAATGAATTTGTGTTTATTTTTGCAAGAGGGCTCATTCCAACAACAAAAAAAGTGTGTAGGAGGGAAAACCCTGATCTCATTAACTCCATACAGTATGTCAATACAAAAGTGCAGTAAAAACTTCCCACGCTTTACCCACAAACAACTTGAGCTCAAGAGTCTGCAAACACCTTATTAGAAGGAGACAGTTTCAACTTGTTCTAATTCCCCTCTTTGTCCTAATGCCACTACTGTCCCTTTGGGCTTGCCGTACCCTCACCACCTCTCTAAGGACGTTACAGACACACAGTGGTCAAATCCAAATCTCCACACTCAGAATTTCACAGACTTTGAAGTGCAGTGCAGATAAATCCGGGATATTTTCAGCCTCTTTCTGAACACTCTCAGTAAATTGGATTTTCTGGAGACTTTGCCAGAGGGAAATAACGCACAATCTATTTGTAATACCACTCTGCTAACTTGCTCATATTAGTGTAAACCTCGCAATTATTTACATAACGTTGTAGTAATGTTATGTAAATAACAGTGAACACACAAGATCACATGATATGGAAGATATTGAAAATAATTCAGGAGTTTAAAGTACAAATTCATTCATACAAATATTTATAAAAAATAGAATAAGCACTGAAGCCAATAAAAAGAGGTGTATCTTATTCGTCCAGTGGTATCAATTAGTAGTCGATGGGTCAAATGACAGTTATTACAAATAATCAAAACTTTTTATTGTTTTTTTATATAAATGTTCATATTACATCCAAAATAACTTTCACTTATATGAGCAAGATGGCATACATGTTTTGAAAATTAATTAAAACTTATTTATGCATGGAACATAAGCTTACCCTTATCTGACTACACTCTAAAAACGAATTCAGGCGACCTTTCACCTCCACTTAATTAAATGCATGGTTGCAAGATAAAAATGTGAGTTAATTGATTTAGATAAACATTTTAAGTTGCAAACATTAATTTATAAGTTGTGTTGACGTAATAATGTTGGTAATTACATCAACTTAATATTGTGTGTAATTTGAACTCTGATTTCTGCGTTAATTGACTTAAAACAAAATTGAAGTTGTAGCAAGTAATGCAATTGGCTTGATAACTTAATTGTTCTACACCTTGAGTTAAGGATTTCAAGTCCACTCCCACTTAACATGCCTGGACAAGTTCCGACAGTTAAGACAAATAGAAATATACAAAGGACATTTTAAGGTGAGTGTCATCTTTTGTCATTCAAATACAGTAGCTTGCATTGTAGTTGCACTGTATGGCAAATTGCTGTTTGATCAAAATTAGCAGCCTTTGAACTGTGAATAGTTCTGTGAGAGGATACAAAGTAGTAGAGGCTATGTGAGTGTAAAAATACTTTGGTTACTAATTGTGATATCTCTTTTTATTAAAAATGAATCTCGGTGAAGCAGATCAAGGACATGCTTCTTGAGGTAGGATCGTTATTTAGAGTTGTCATTGAAATGCAAGTTGTTGGCAGTCACCCATTCAGAATATATTCATTTAGGTCATTTCTATTTTTTTCCTTTTTCAAAAATAGCACAATACAATTGAAGTACGCAGAGAACTATAGCCATCCGCTGCCTTGTCGTGTACCTTGGAGAAAAGGAAGAGGACCTTTTCAAGGAGTTTAGCGGCGTAATTAAAAATCTTGAAATAAAATAAAATCCACGGGCACAGTGTAAAAACACAGGACAAAAGCACTGCTCTCTGTCAGTTACATTTTGAAGCATATTGCACTTTTGGCCACAGTCCAATCAATAATATCTTAGCAACCTTCAGCATGGATAGGTGTTGACAGCAATGGCATGGGAAAAGGATTGTGTAACATTTGAAGAGTGGCTTCTGCTCTTCACTTAACCAGTTCAAATATTGTATGGAACCTGCAAAACAGATGAGTAGATACACTAAAACTTGCACGGTTGGGATTGACTAAATCTGTCCACATGCATTTAAACACTAGGCAAAGTACTCAAAAGCACCTCTGTGTGTCTTCAGGACCACATTGCCATGACGACACACACATGCAGACTCAATAGGTGAAAACAATAGCAGCGTTGCTTTAGCAGCTGGTAATAATGGCTCTGAATTCGCTAAGAGTGACAGTTACCTAATTCATTATCTCTTATGCGCTAACCTATTATTTAATGTGCTTCAAGAGGACATGAATATCGCCTTCATCAGTGACCGGTCCACCCAGGATCTGACCATACGATGGCAACCATCGTGGTCGAGGGAAACAAATGAATGAGCAAGCATTCTGCATTGAATGTGTTCATACTGTTTGAAATAATGACTGTCGGCAGTGTAAACATCTTTGTTACATCTTTTGTAAAAATTGATGTGTGTGATCTGCAGATTGGTGGCCATTGAGAGTTTGTTTCTGTAGTTTTACAAAAACTTTACAGATTTGACATATTTGGCACTGGTTTTAAATATGCAAAGGCCTCTAACTTCGTTGTGATGGCAGCATGTATTTGCTGTGTCCCCATGTCCCATGGTAATATGGCTAATGTGTTTATTTATTATTTGTGGGGCAATTTAAATTTGTGTAATTTATCTTTTTTTTCAAGATTTAAATGAAGCTCAGCGCAAGTTCTTTCAGGAAGACTGGGTGTATATACATTCACTCCACACATATAATCAGCTCATCACAGGCGTTCTCTTTAACCTATTACATTTCACCTCATTCTCCAGCAGCCAATCAACGTGCTGCAGCCAAACTATAAAATGGTTCTCCTCTCTCCTGCAGTCAGCTGTGATTTCAGGTGTTCATGCACCTTATCATATGGCATGTGTCAATAAATGTTCAAACTAAATGAATTATCTCCTGATTGAAACATCATGTGTTGAAATAAACAACTGCAGTTCAAAATAAAAAGTGAATTGCGTAACATTTTTGTTGTGGAATCAATTAATTTCTTTCTTTAAAAGCAAAAACATGAAAAAGCTAAGAAAAAAACTATTGAATACAATATATTTGGAGCAACTTAATTTATAATTGGTTGTCAACTTAAAAACGTGTGTTCACAATGAGGGTAATTAAGTACATACAACTTAAAATTCCTTTTAAATCATGTGGTAAAACTAGTCGGAACAACTTAATCTTTTGAGTAATCAACTTCAAAACTTGTGTTTATGCTACCAATTATTAAGTAAGTGGTAATTAAAAACACCTCTGATTGTAGAGGAAAAGCCTTCTTCCCTAACTCTAAGACAATTTCATTAGAAGTTGTCTTAACTCAATAAACATCGATGCAAACTGTTGCGTTGATTTTCTTTGTTGAGCCAAGGCATTTGTTTTTAGAGTGTACAGACAGTCTGTGACATTGAGTAAGAAGACCGGAGTGAATATCCAACCTTAAACTAACTTCATCTCGGTGACCTCGACCTCCTTCTACCCTTTACAATCTTTGAGATAACTACCATTTGTGTGTGAAAGAAATATGGGGGGGAGGACCGTGCAAAATAAGACACAATGCTTAAGCAGTTAACCAGCAAGCAGAAAGGTTGACAGATACATAGCTTGTTGTGATTTCCCGAGAACACAGACAGAAGGTGAAGCACCTGCAGTCCTTCCCCGGGTTCTTTCTGGAAGGCAGTTTATTCTACTTGAAGCATGCTGCTGTTGTTGTTGATTTTGTAAGCTGGGGCAAGGTTGCATCCATGAATAATGAATGAATCTTCTAAATAGGCTGCCTGAAATATTTACCCTTCGCCCACCCACCTGCCCTCCTTTCCACAGTTGTTTCCTTGAGAAAGTTTCCCCCATGCAGGTGTGCAGGAAGAGTTTCTCACCTTCTTGCTAACCCTGTCCTTAACCTCTCCTCACCCCTCACATGTATTTCCAAGCATGAAATCATCCCAAAAAACCTGAGTCCTTTCACACTTCTTACCAGTTCCAGCCCTGCTTACTGCACGGGGAGTATTTGTCCATCAGAGCGGTGAGTTTGAGCAGCGAGAGTTTCTGCAGCAGGAGGAACTGGGACACGGACTGGCTCTCCACTCCTGGACTGGAGGCCAGGCTCTGCTCACTGGACCAGAGCTGCCGACTCACCCTGCTGGAAACACAGCAGCCACAACAGATAAGTACACAAATAGACACGAAAAACACACAAACACACCTTAATGCCAGTTTCACAATCAAGAGAAGTTAATACATTGTTGAAAATAAAGGCCAAGAGTTTTCATTTAGATTTTCATACAAAAAATGTATGTTTCTTTAGTATTTTTTATTACTATTAGTATAATTATTCATATTATTTTCTGTGTTTGTGAAAAATACCAATTCACCTACAAGTAATTGTGATGCTTTCCAATAGTGTATAGCCATGATAGCAACCAGCTGAAATATACCTTAAAACTATATTGTTATGTTTGTCCAAAGTTGACATCAAAATAAATGTGTATCACCAAATTTAAATGGTTAATCATCTGTATGTTGCCCATTTTAGATGATTTATCTATATTTTTTAGACTCTCCGCTTTATTTAAACACATCTGCGCTTGTAGCAGATTACCATTATCATTCAAATATATTCAGCGCAACTTAATTTAGCCTTAACGTTGGCATGTCAGCATGGCACAACTACTGGATGGTAATTTTTCAACATTTAGCACACAGCGTTCATCATTTTGGCATACAGATTGTTAACATGCTTTTATTTTTAGTATATGCTTGTCTTGCTCAATTCTACATTGTCAGATTTGTTTTAACTTTAGGCAGGGCCTGTGCCAAGCGATGTTAACATTTAGTAAAAAGCTATAATAATTATCAGTTGGTCAGTAAACGAGCAATTAACAACACTTATATTAAACCTAACAAGCAACTCAAGCAGCATCCAGAAGCAACACTGATGTTGCGGCTGACTCTACATTACAGGAGAGGCCTCATAGCTTTTTATTCAGAACAAATACGCTACAAAAAAGGGAATAAAAAGCAGCACTGTAACGAGGCAATCAAACTATTCTCCATGAGGTTACTGCTTTTATTTAAGTGCCTTACATTAACTCCACCTTTATTTCAGTTGATGCCTAAAGGGAATTTATCCCCTTCACTTTACATTTCATTTAGCTGATGTTTTTATCCAAAAAGACCTACAATAAATACATTTTATTGGAGCCCTTCTGGACACTTAGGCTTACATTTAAAAATGTCCAGGGCAACTTAGAGTGTCCACAAATTGGGTTGAATTTCTTCTGCTTCTTTATGTTGTTATTATTATTATTATTATCATTTATTCATTTATTCTTCTTCTTCTTCTTATTCTTATTATTATTGATTATCCATTTATTATTCTAATTGTTATTATTATTACTCTATGTATTATTCTTAATACAAAATGATTACCATTATTATTATTATTATTATTATTATTATTATTATTATCATATATCTATTTAATATTATTTATTATTATGTATTATTATTATTAATTAAAACACATTATTATTATGATTATTATGTATGAATTTCTTATTATTAATAACAAATTATTATCATCATTATTATTATTATTATTATTACATTTTCTATAAAGAACACTCGATTTAGTTTCTTGCATCACCTGCTCCTGGGTTGTGGCGATATGGTCTTCGGCTCCTCTCCGGTCTCAGGGGCCTCCTCCTGCTGCACCTCCAGGTGGATGTGGCTGGGGGAGGAGGGGCAGGGGGAGGCTGCTGAGGAGCCTCTGGAAGGAGTGTCCTGAGAAGAAGATGAAGAGGTGGAGGAGGAGGATGAGGAGGAACCTCTCTGGCAGTCGTCCTCGGATAGACTTTCAGACCAGGTGGAGACCAGCTGTTGGAGGTCACCGATCCTCTCCAAAACGCTGTCCAGTGCAGAGAAGACGTCTTCGCCTGCCAACAACTCACTCACCTTGGAAAGAAAGAGAAAACCAGTCAGAAAACGAGGACTACAAGTATTACCACAGGCAGCCTACAGCGGTAAGTCTCTTCATTTAGTTAGAAAAAAAATCACAATCATTTAAAAAAGGTTTTAAAAAAAGGTTTTTTAGCTTTTGGAAATCCAGAAAAACTAGAAAAGCTGAAGTTTTTTTTTGGTATACTTTCACTTTTTCTTCAGTTGACTGATTCAGCAGGTTTAAAGGATATTATTGCCATACACCAATTTTGGAGGAAAGTTATAAATCAATTTCTCCAAAGTAACTGGTTCCTTAAAATCCATTACTTAATATTTCATGTCATATGTCATGTCATTATCCTTTACTACTATGTCTGCCATCTTTCTTGTCAGGATAGGATCCATTTATATTCCAATGGCTACTCTTCTATAGAAAGTAGAACACGTTTGAAGCAGCATAATTAACTGACATGGTTTATTGTATATTTTTAATTTAAAATGTAATTGATATCATAACTCATAAAATGATTTCTGGCTTCATTTGGTGCTTAGTTCAGCAGCGAATGATCCGTGTTCGTATCGATTTTAACTTTCTTTAGTAGAGAGGCAGAAGAGCAATTGAGACATATACAGTGGGGCAAAAAAGTATTTAGTCAGCCACCAATTGTGCAAGTTCTCCCACTTAAAAAGACGAGAGAGGCCTGTAATTTTCATCCTAGGTACACTTCAACTATGAGAGACAGAATGGGGGGAAAGAATCCAGGAAATCACATTGTAGGATTTTTAATAAATTAATTGGTAAATTCCTCGGTAAAATAAGTATTTGGTCACCTACAAACAAACAAGATGTCTGGCTATCACAGACCTGTAACTTCTTCTTTAAGAGCCTCCTCTGTCCTCCACTTGTTAACTGTATTAATGGCACCTTTTTGAACTCGTTATCAGTATAAAAGACACCTGTCCACAACCTCAAACAGTCACACTCCCAACTCCACTATGGCCAAGACCAAAGAGCTGTCAAAGGACACCAGAAACAAAATTGTAGACCTGCACCAGGCTGGGAAGACTGAATCTGCAATAGGTAAGCAGCTTGGTGTGAATAAATCAACTGTGGGAGCAATTATTAGAAAATGGAAGACATACAAGACCACTGATAATCTCCCTCGATCTGGGGCTCCACGCAAGATCTCACCCCGTGGGGTCAAAATGATCACAAGAACGGTGAGCAAAAATCCCAGAACCACACGGGGGGACCTAGTCAATGACCTGCAGAGAGCTGGGACCAAAGTAACAAAGGCTACCATCAGTAACACACTACGCCACCAGGGACTCAAATCCTGCAGTGCCAGACATGTCCCCCTGCTTAAGCCAGTACATGTCCAGGCCCGTCTGAAGTTGGCTAGAGAGCATTTAGATGATCCAGAAGAGGATTGGGAGAATGTCATATGGTCAGATGAAACCAAAATAGAACTCTTTGGTAAAAACTCAACGAGACTTGTTTGGAGGAGAAAGAATGCTGAGTTGCATCCAAAGAACACCATACCTACTGTGAAACATGGGGGTGGAAACATCATGCTTTGGGGCTGTTTTTCTGAAAAGGGACCAGGACGACTGATCCGTGTAAAGGAAAGAATGAATGGGGCCATGTATCGTGAGATTTTGAGTGACAACCTCCTTCCATCAGCAAGGGCATTGAAGATGAAACGTGGCTGGGTCTTTCAGCATGACAATGATCCCAAACACACCGCCCGGGCAACGAAGGAGTGGCTTCGTAAGAAGCATTTCAAGGTCCTGGAGTGGCCTAGCCAGTCTCCAGATCTCAACCCCCATAGATGTGATTTTCTGGATTGTTTTCTTCTCATTTTGTCTCTCATAGTTGAGGTATACATAGAATGAAAATTACAGGCCTCTCTCATATTTTTAAGTGGGAGAACTTGCACAATTGGTGGCTGACTAAATACTTTTTTGCCCCACTGTATATACAGAATTTTCCTGCTGTTGACAAAACGAATCAGGCTTGTAATATCTTTCTAAAAACGTTACTAATTTGACTGCATTTTACAACATGATACATTTTTAAAACATTTCTCTGACCTGTTCTGTCATTTGAGGTAAATCTTTCCATTCCCATTCATAGCCAGGGGAATCAGAAATATAACGACAGTATATCTGGGCCTTTGAAGTGGCCCATCCATTGTAGTGACATGACAGTTCAGCTCCATGGACAGATCCACTCTGCACTGCCACAGCTTTTACAATTCAAAGAAAAACTTTGCTTCCAAGAATGTCATCAATTTAGAACTCAAACTGAAACTCAAAGACATTTACTTCGATGTCTTGGCTTCACAAACATTATAAGATATTTTGTGGATTTGATTTAGTACACTCTTGTACAGTGTGACAGTCCCTGTACTAATCTTCTTTGTCTATCTGGCAGCTCATTGTGTTTTTCTTAGTTATTCATTCTTATTCCCATGTTTCCCAATATGTTTTGCATCAAGGTCAAACTATTTAGACTACTCGGTTAAAACCATATACTTTTATAAGAAGTGGCTTTACCAGGCAAGACCTCCTTTTAATATTGCAATGTATTTGAAAGAATATTGACTACTCAGTAAATCTTTAAAGTATGCAGACTTTAAAGGCCTCTAGATGCTTAAAATAAACCAGACGTTTCTGACTACATTAAAAGGAGAAAAATGTTAAACTCTTCCTAATGGGAAAACTCGAAAGCAAAACTGAGCAATCTGGTGCCACTAAATGTGTTTAAAGCTCAGTTGGATGCTACTCAATCGGAAGCTGTTGGTACCTGTTCATGTGGATAGTTATGTAAATTATAAATCCCTGTAATGATGCTGTATGATGTCCTTTTTGTTGTTCTGTTTATGTTTTTATGTTTCATGTGGAACCTACTTGAGCAGGTCTCCCTTGAAAAAGAGATCAATGATCTCAATGGGATACACCTGGGTAAATAAAGGTTTGAAATGAAATGAAATGGGATTGTGAGATTATTTCTGTATATTCAACAACCACATTGTTTGCAAGTAAGCATTTTAAGGTGTGAGACAGCCTTATTTTCAAAATCTATAAGTATAAAAATGAAAGTGGAGTAACAGTTTTTGGACCTACCTCTGACTCCTCCCCCATCCGCTCTGCATCGCTGCCACTTCCCCCACTGCCACCTTCACTTTCAGACAGCTGCTGGTCGTCTGGCACGTTGTCGTAGATACTCAGCCGATGATCCAGCACGGCGAGTGGACTGCGGACCACCTCAGCGGCCAGCGAAGATGTCCCCAGATGGCAACTGTTTCGACCCCGGTAACCGTGAAAGCTCCCGGTCCTCCAGTTGACCGAGTTGCTGTCGATGATTGTGGACAGGATAGTGTGTTTATGAGCCAGAGAGGTGGGGAAGGTCCCTGGTTTGTGTCCTTGCGGGACCTGGAAGACCAGACTCTGGTGGCTGCTGTTGTTTTTGTTGTTGATCTGGTTCCTGTAGTCCTGAGAGGAGGAACAGACAGAACAGTGAAGGTTTAAAACAAAGAAAAATGTAAAAGGTAATACTGACATTATCTGTGAATAAAGACAGTCGAAAACCCTGAGCTCTACATGATGTATTCAACACTATTGAGGATATCCTTCTATGTAAATAAAAAAGATTTGGACTTATACTATATAGTATACTGGACAATACTGCATTAAATGCAATATAATCATTTTGAATGAAGTAAAACATGTCTTGATTGATAAATGAAACAGAGTAAATTGGTAAAAACCACGGGGTAAACCGGTCTTTTTCCTTTGAGATTTTTTCCAGATAACCCATTTTATTGGGTCAGCATAAAGACTATTGAACATGGTTAACATTTAGAAAAGAAGCAAAACTTGGTAGAAGAATTAGCCAGGAAGTTATAACTGTGATGGATGTTAGCCTTTTTTTTGTCATCCAAAACATTTGGCTAATGATGGTTAGGTTTGCGTTAACCTTATAAGAAATCGTAGGCAAAGCTTTGAACAAATCCCTCTGGTGACGCTATTGTATTTTATGTAGCACAATTCTTGGGTCATAACTAAAATGTATTCATCACTGTGATTCATGAGCAATAATTAATATCCATTCCTGCCAATATTAGCATTTTTTGCTAACATAATTTTTTTGAAACATCTCCATGTTAGCTTTATCATTTAGAGCTTGATGCCTAGCTAGGAATAGCATTTGGCCCAATACAGCCTTACAGTGCTGCTGTGATTCATTTGAACTAATATACAAGAAAAGATTTCATGATCATCAATTCGCAGACGCAAAAGTTTAAATACTGTTGGCGTAGAGAGGGAAAATAAAAAGGAACTTTGAGTTTGTGGGCTTAAAAGTTACTCTTTTCATACACAGAATGGCCCTGAATCAGTTTGCTCTGAATCGCAGGGACATTTATTAGACATGAAGGTATGTGAAGTCATGGTTTGGCATTTGGAAGGCCTCAGAGTCCTTCACACTTGAATATGTGAGGCGGCTCTGGGTGTCTGTCGGTTAAGATAAGTTGAGGACTGAGTCCCATGGTAAAGAGTCTGGACCAACATTGTTTTGCCTCCTCCAAGGTGCGGTGCTTATATGTCGTTTGGTTACAGTTGGCAGCTGGTAGCTGGAGATATGTTCGCCTCATGGGCGCTGCCGATGTCCGACTGAGCAACGCAGCAAACCCCCAACCGCTCAATGCCCTCGCTCTCTCCATTAATGCATGTGTATACGTCCTGTTTGTGCATGTGTGTGTATTTTGGGCATGTGTATAATGTGTGAAAAATAAGAACAGAGGGAAAACTTTGAATTTCCCTTCAGGAATCAATAACTTAAGTATGTAAACTTTTCAATATATGCAGCTACAACTTAATTCCTCCTACTGTGTTTATTAATGCACCATAACACACTAAAGCAAAATGCTTGTATGTGTAAACCTTCTAAGCAATAAACCGGATTCTGATCAAATGAGCAATGTATTTTTTTGGTTTGACTGGATCTTTGCACGCTTCACCAAGGTCTTTTTTGGATAGATTTGTGTTGAATGAAACTTAAAGGGGACCTATCATGCAAAATGCACTTTTGCACGTCTTTTATACATTAATATGTGTCCCTGGTGTGTCAGGGAACTCACCAAGTGTCAGAAAACACAACCCTCTCTCTTTTCCTCCATACCCAAATCTCTAAAAACGGGGCTGCAACGGAGCTGATTATTATTTGAATTTTTTTCTGACGTCAGAAAAGGGGTGCTCCGCCTATATGAGCAACTCTCCACCTATCAGGGGAATGAGAGACCGTTCAAAAGTGCTGGAGACGCTGTAGTACATATGCCAGGCCTGTAAGTGGCGCTGTAGTCTGCCACAAAAGCAGAATCAGCCCTTGCAAAAACAGGACTGGAAAAGAGCAAATAGAGCGAAATGAGGCATGGCTAAAATGCATGATCTGTTTGGTATTTTGAAAAAAAAACTTCACAGAAATGTTTTATATAGGTATGGCCCTACAATATATGTTTCAAATATAGCATGATAGGTCCACTTTAAATGTTTGAGTAAGGACAATTGGGGCTCATTAGGAAACTTGTTTTACAACAGTAAAAAGAGACACAACATTTCATTGGACTGACCTCTGTTTCTGTGTGGTTCTGGTTGTTCCGGGTGGTTCCACCCTCGACTCCACTGTTAGAGCGTTTGCAGTTGCTCCTGACGCGGGTGACCGGGCTAGGCGTGCTGACGGTGCTGCTGCTCTCTGATTGGCTGTTACTGCTGTTGCTGCTGATGGTGGTGTGAGGAGACGAAGGCGAGGAAGATGCACAGCTGTTGGGAAGTCAAACAATTAAATCCACAAGAATAAACATCTTATGAGAGTAGGCATGTCAGAGCTTGACTATACCGACAGGCTGGGGACTTTGTAAAACTAAGTATTCTTCTCTAAAATCCATTTAATTTGTTCCAATGTTTAGAGACCATTTATTAATTAGGGTTTGATTTGTTTCGTTTTTAAGGCATTTGGTAATTTTGTTTAATACATTAACTCTTTCCATCACTAGACAGACTATTAAAATATATTGTAAATAGTTTCTATTTAGCTTCTTTTAAATCTTTTTGGATCGGGGTGTCCCATTTCACATACCTCCATTCTGTCTTATGATGGTATTTTTTTAATGCTTTTAAATAAATGAGTGTGTGATTGATTGATTGAAGTTGCCGGAAGTGATATAGCTTCCTGCTTCTCTTATTGGAAGTACGCCTCTATTTTCCAACAATGCGTTAACTTAACTTAATAATAATAATAATAATGGGTTCCATTTATAAAGCACTTCATATTTGATTTCAAATCCCGAAGTGCTACAAGTAGTGAGCATGAACAGTATAAATAAACATTACACAACACGGTAGAATTAATAAAAAGCAATACAAAATAAAAATAAATAAATAAAAGGGTGATAAAAAGGTCTAGTCAACGGCTCTTTTGAAGAGATGGGTTTTGAGGCCTTTTTTAAAAGCCTCCACGGTCTGTGGTTGACCTTTTATTCAATTTACTGCTACTTTGGGATCTGGTTAAAAATAAAGTTCTCTGTTTCTTTAGATTGCAATCCACCATAGTAGTTAGGGTTCAATTTATTTCGTTTTCAGGGAATATGGTAAGTGTAAGGTGTTGTCGATGTTTTTGTTTGTTACATGAACTCTTTCAATTTCTGAGGCATCAGGAAGATATATTCTAAATAGTTTATTGGCTACGATTTTCAAGCTTTTCGAAAAAGTCTTGGTTTTTGAAAGATTGCTATCTACAATCTTTACCTAGACGGGCTGTTGAGCCTCTTCATCCTCTCCTCCTCCTGGACCTGAATAACGTGCCGGGTCCGACTCCGGCTGTTACCACCTCCACTGTGAGCAGAAGAGAGGAGGCCGGTGGGTCCCCTCATCCTCAGTTTCTCCATCTTCCTCAGCAGACTGCTGCCCTTCTTCCTCGGCGGTTTGTCTGAGAAGCAGCCTTCAGCCTCCAGACTCATGGTGGACGACCCTCCTCCACTTCCCCCAGGGGAGGAGGGTCCACTATACGAGGGGTCCAGAGAAAGCGTCTTGTTCGAGGAGGAGCAGCGGGAGGAGCTCCTGCTGGTCTCCTGGTCATCTGTAATTCTGATGGAGGCGGTTGTTGTGGTAGTAGCGTCTCTGTGACTCTTGTGGTGACCTTCACTCTCAGTGCTGCTGGAGCTGTGGATGGAGCACACATCCTGGAGGTCACTGGGGTCACACAGAGACACACCCTGGGAGTCGAGGCGTCGCCATCGTCTCGCCCGCCTGTCATAGGTCCAGTTGGGGCTGATGGCACAGAAGTCTTCTTCGTCATAGGGATCTCCCTGGAAGAAGAAGACCAGAAAATGCAAGAAAAATGAGTTATACAACTAAATCAAATGGTTTTTTTTATATAGAAAATCATATTTGGAAAGCAATATTAACTCATACTGTTTCATGTATTTCATAAAAAAGATCAGGGTCATTAAAAAGAACATAAAACTCAAGTGTAATTTATTCCTTTGAAATAATAATAAGAAAACAACTCATACACTTCATCAAACTGCAAAAGCTCTACATGTGTAGATATGTAATATCTACAGAAGGAAATATTCTATGTGGAATACTTTAAGTAAATATAGTGGACAAAGCAAAACTTTTTTACACATCATGGTGGTCTCTAAAAAAGTCCCCAAAAAATGTGTAAGATAAACAAATCCAATCAAGTTGTATTTGTTTATCCATTTGACATTTTGATTTGATTAAAGCGTGCTTTGATCGTGTCTACCAGGGACATTTTCGAAAGGCAGAACCACCTTCACATTTTAGACATTAGCATGCAGCCTTAGGGAAACATCCCACTTACATATCAGATAATAATACTGTGGGTTGTTGTAGTAACAGAATAATACATAAATAATCAGCATTCTTTTATTTGACTTCATCTTCTGTTTTCCTTCAAGAATTTGTCCTAGAAAGAGAAATTGTAGGAAGGAGGAGGAGGAGAGGAGGAGGAGGAGGGAGGAGGAGGAGGAGGAGGAGGAGGAGGAGGAGGAGGAGGAGGAGGAGGAGGAGGAGGAGGAGGAGGAGGAGGAGGAGGAGGAGGACTGATCAGTTGATATCAGTGAGATGATGTGACGCTTTACGAGGCTGCTTGGATATGAACGTCCCGCTGTGTTTGAGTTTCTTTTTGTTTTCTCTCAATACTCACCCTTCGTTTCGATCTCCGCAGCTCCAGCCTCATTTCCACGCATTTGTTTAAAGTGTTTAATCTCCTAAAAGAACGAGGACAGAAGATAAAATAAAACAGAATAAAAACGATTTATATCAATATAAGAAGTACTATTATTAAAAACGTATTAATTCTGGATTGTCCAGTCTTGTGTTACCTGCAGAGTGAATCCAGAGCATCTCTATCCAGGAAGTGGTGATCACGCTTTGCCCACTCAATGTCGATGGGGAACCTGCAGTCTGACACATGATAAATATAACAATAAGACTCTCCCTGACACATTGTTTGTATCATATTAGAGAAGACTCTGCGGGCTATCTGATTACATTAACATCCTCATATTTACCTTTGAATAATTGCACATACTGAGGGAAGCCAGCCGCTTGCAGCCAATCACAGGCCTCCTTGGCTTCAATCTCTGTAAACAGCGAGAAGGAAAACAACATTTGATTAAATTAAAATCATTTCATGCTCCACCCGCTTTAAGAGGGCAAATATTTGCCCTTAATCAGTCGGCTGTTTATGAAGATTAATTACATTTGCATTTTTGATGAAAAATTAAAAACACTGCGAGAGACAAACTGGAAGCACATACACGCTATTAATGATGTGTTACTCCTGCAAGAGGCCATTTTAATTACTGCTAATTGAGTGAGGGGATGGGGGCTTCCAAGAGAGCATAGAACATGACTTTTAGCACTTTCCCTCTTCTGTATCTTCTGAAAGAAATTTCAAATTTCAGTGGGATGTCAACATTTTGTTATCATTAACTTCACCAAGGAGAAATTATGTTTTTTGGTTTAGCCTTCAGCAGGATTAAAGAAAAAATAACTACTGGCCTGATTTTCATTAACCTTAGAGGAAATGATTAGCACACTTTTATTTAACTATGCATTTTTCAAATATTCTTTCCTCTTATTACATCAATCCTTAATTTGGAAGTTTGTACAAGTGATACCTGCTTTAGAATATAAAACAATCTTGCGTTATTGCCCATTATAACTTCTTGCAGCTTTTTATAAATCATGGAAACAGTGGCATAATTACAGTAATGCATCTCTGTACTCCTTTATGTTAAATATGCAGCCTTTCAAACCCATGAAACACACATTTACTTGATGAGAAGCACAACATAATAATGTTCACCTTCACACTGATGACAAGCACAAAAACACAAATATAAATCAGGCACATTACAAGCCTCAAACCAACCTCACGTCAGAAATATTAAAGATATTTTCCATGAATACCTGTGCATACACGGACGCACACAGCCAATTGACCTCTACTGCTTTCAAGTATTTTGTGGAGACTCTGATGCAAAGTGTTGCAAAAGAACCGAGTGGGAAAGAAAACAATCTGGCGTGAAGCATGAAAATGTTTTGTTGATCCAGGATGTTTACAATGAGGAGCGACAGTAATTATTTTTTTCTCAGTCTGGTTGCATGGCCCAGAAGAGGATTTTCTAAAAGGTCTCAAAATATTTGTCCAGCACAACCCTGTCTGCACAACCCGCTCTCTCTGCGAGTGTAAGAGGCCCGTCGCGGTTAGAATCCTGCCAAGGGCACTTCTTGTTTTCATATTCAGACAGCATGAAATATGGCCGACATTAGCCTCTACTAAAGAACAACAGCACTTTGCCCATGGCTGATCGGGTCTTCAAACGCTTCTTGTCTGAGGTTTGTGTTTTTTACTGCCTATTCACTACAGCCAAGATGAAAGGAAGAACCATAATTCACATTTCATTTTGTGTGATTTTTCTGAAGTTTTACCTAGTTTTACCTAGAATGCACTAGGATGGAACTGTGGAAATTGGTCTAGTTTTCCCCCTAGACACCGTGGGAGCGTGAGACAGAGCAGATGGCTTAAATATGTAAACAATGGGGGGAAATTCAGCGAATATGGCAGTCATCAAAAGACAGAAGGGGAAGACAGAAAGACAGACAAAAGTAAACTGGCTGTGAGAACAGGCAACGGAATGAACGGTCAAATACAGAGGAATTACCATAAGTGTGTTTATCCTGACCCTTTAAATGTCCTGCTTGTTAAACATCTTAGTGTAGAGCCCATTTTCCGCTGTCACAATGGAGATGTGACATTTGAGATAGAAAAGGGATCAAGTGTGCTGGCAGAGCGGCCGTCTCACATGTCTGCCAGAGGATCTGTAAATCCAGGGATATGTGAATGTAGAGCCCTGAACTTTGTTAGACAGCCACACAGCTTTTTCTCTGCCAACATCACTACAATATATATATATATATATTGCCACGACTGAAAAATACAGCTTGTCATTCTGCTACCTAGAGGGTCACAAGTTAAAAGCTCTTGACGTTTAAACAAGTTTTCCATTTTGAATAGATCTAATATTCTGCTTTAAGGCAGTGGTGCTTAGAGAAGGAGGTTCTATTGAAAAAGCTTGAGGTTACAGAATCACGCAATATCTCAGTGGGAAAAGTAAATGATTATAATTTGTATAGAATCATCTTGGAAGTCCTTGGTGAGGCACTCAAACCCAAATCACTCAAAGGCAGTGGTAGATGGAAATGGATCAGAGCTGCACAGTAAAACTGAGATATGAAGGTGATTCAGAAAGAAAATGAGCAACCTTGATCAAAAGAAAAAGCCCCCCAAGCAAAGGTGTACGAGGCGTCTTTACAACTTTGCAGCCTAAAACAGGGAGCGAGTAACATCAAAACAAAGAAATCCAGGAAGCCAAGACAGGCAAACTGTACTCAGCGTCTTTGTGTTTACCAATCCTTTTGCCCTACGATCCATAAAAGATCGCCTGTTTTCCAAGAAGGTGGGAAGAGAGTATAACTTACACACTTTAGGCCAGTTCATTTGCTGAAATGATAGAACAATAAGTCAATACATAAATAAATAAGGGTATTCTAGATTATTTGCCTTAAGATAATTAAACGCAGCCTCCCCTCCTGGTTGATTAAACTCAGTATATCAGTGATGGTGCACTTTTGAGTTCTAATGCAGGAAAACAGTGGATGTGATTTCACATTTTGAGTTTAAGTTAATTGTCTTCCAGTATACTTCACTTTGCATCACAGTTTATTTGTTAGGTGAGAATATTTCAATGTCTGTCTTCAACTATATTTTCAACATTGAATGCTCAACTTTTCCTTACTGTACGCTGGCTTAAAGAGCCTCAAGGTCAACTGAAAGACATCAGAGCATCCACACACATCACTAAGGATCGAGTAGAAAATAAACGCTATCTTGGAGACATGGAGAAACAAAAGTGCACTGAACACTGCGGTAGAAGCTAAGATAATGTTTTTCGCACACTGAGGATCCGCTATCTTAACTTGCCAGGTGAATAAAAGTCACATATAAAGTTTCCAGTTCAACACTCAGTCGATTTATTTTCCGGTTACTGGTGTCCATGTTTCTTATTTTAATTCACCATGCACAAAATTACACTTCACACAATAACCCTAGTCAGCCTCAGCGTATGTTTGCTCATCCCATTGTGGGGTGTGTGCTCCGGTGTGTGTGTGTGTGTGTGTGTGTGTGTGTGTGTGTGTGTGTGTGTGTGTGTGTGTGTGTGTGTGTGTGTGGTGTGTGTGTGTGTGTGTGTGTGTGTGTGTGTGTGTGTGTATGTGTGTGTGTGGTCAAAAACAGTTTGGCCTTGCAGCGGAACCTGTATCTACAAACATTGGTTCCTACCTTTATACCCAGAGTGATAATAGGCTCATAAACACACAGCATTGCTCTCAGAGAAACAATAAGATGTTGAAAAGAAAGTAAAGAACATGTCTGACCTGATAACCTTATTAAATACAAGTCAAGCGAGAAAAAAAAGAACCCCAAACCTGTCAGAAATAACAATAAACTTTAGATTCTTTGTTTGTTTGTTCAGCGACTTTGACATCCACATTCAGCGTCCCTTTCTACTCAGCATTTACGTAAGTGATGGTGTTTGAGCTCCTGCATGACCACAGCAGGCACTGGCTTCTTCCTTTTCTAAATGACTCTGCCTCTGAGGAAGTTGTGATTCGGCCCCTCTGGGCTCTGATAAGAGATTTAGGTTTGCGATTATGGCGGCTCTGCCCTGCTAGCGCCAGGAAGCTGGACAGCGTGTGTCTGGAAGCTGAGACGTGCTCGATGGACCGTTTGTGTTTGGGTATTTATGCTTGTCTGGACACCAAAGCTTTGACTCCTAATAACAGATTCGCTGCTCGCCAGAAATGAGTCATTTAGGTTTCTTAAGGTTTAAAGGTTTACTGTCAGGGCAATCCAAATGACTACAAATCACTTGCCTAGAAGTGTTAAAGAATGAGTGTGAGTCCTGTAATTACCTATACAATTTCTCCACAGGCTGATTACAGTATGTTTTCAATAGCAATGGAATATGAAGTCTGATTCACATAATTAGAGTTAGAGTAAGGGTAATTATTATCAACAATTAGCAACCAGTACAGTACAGTCATTACCTGACTGCCAGTTTGTAAATGTAACTGGTTTAAAACGGACAGTTCACCCCAAAATATGAATTACAGTACAAGTGCTATTCGTCAATTAAGATTTTTTTTTTTTTAATGGCCAATTTTTGGATATAAGTGGAATAGATATCTGCCCCTTCTCAAATAAATGTATCTATTTGACCTACCCAGAAGTTTCAAGTAGGAACTATTTTCTCCCTACTGTATCAACGCACACAAATAAGTGTGTATCTATTAATGGATAAGAGTTATGCCAGGGTACTGAGGTAGCTCAGATCCTTCCAATTAACCATTCACCTAGCATTTCAAACCATGATGCATCTATTAGCTCTTCCCAATAGTGGAAAGTAATTCAGTACATTTACCCAAGTACTGTACCTAAGTAATTAATTACTAATATTTGTCATACTTGCACTTACTTAAGTATTTACAATGTTTGCTACGACATGTATTTAAAGGTCCCATGTCATCAGTGGCGGTTCTAGACCAATTTGACTGGGGGGGCCACTGGGGGGCCAGTTATTTTCTGAGGGGGGCACAATAAATGCAGGACGAAAAAGAGAACTAGACAGTATGAAGTAATTGCGCATAAGAAAACAATGCAATACAGTTATTGGTATTTGTTTCAGTACACTTATTTATTTCAGATAGACCTTATAGTTATTACTGTTAGCTTCAGCTTAAAGAGCCTGTGACACGAGTTTCCCCCATCATCCAAACCCATCAATTTGAGTAAATATTGTCCCCTTGAAAACCGTTACTGAACTGATTTTGGATATTTGTACTTTGATAACCATTAATCTGCCCTTCAATGTTGACCATTTTCTGGATCTTCTCGGGGATTCTTCAAGTCCCGCCACATTATGTGTGACGTCATTGCGGGCACAGCGCTCCAGCTGCACCGTTCAGGATCCCAGCATCTGCATGTAAACGCACGATGGCGCACACAGCAGCAAGCTCA